GGAATCTCTTTTTCTTTACCATGTGATAAGTCGGAAGCTATAAGCTTTTGTTTACCCATCTGGGCTATTACATTATTTCCTCTTCCCCTATTAGAGGAATCCTATCCCTAACAAGAAGGATCTTCTTGATCGTCTTTTCCAAGCTATTATCTTTTCAAAATTTGATTTACAATCTGGTTATTGGCAAATTCAGATAGCCGAAAATGATATTTATAAAACGGCTTTTAATGTTCCTATGGGACATTATGAATGGAAAGTTATGCCTTTCGGTTTAAAAAATGCGCCTTCTGAATTCCAACAAATTATGAATGACATCTTTTATCCTTACAGCAATTTTATCATTGTCTATATAGATGATATTTTAGTCTTTTCTAAAGACATTGAGAGTCATTTCAAACATCTTAATATCTTCAAGACTCTTGTTATTCAAAATGGTTTAGTCATATCAAAACCTAAAATGTCCTTATTTCAAACTAAGATTAGGTTTCTCGGTCATGATATTGAAAAAGGAACAATTATTCCTATCCAACGCAGTATTGCTTTCGGTGATAAATTTCCTGACCAAATCCTTGATAAAACTCAATTACAAAGGTTTTTAGGAAGTCTAAATTATATTTCTGCTTACATTCAGGATTTAAGTCAATATACTTCTCTTCTTTATGATAGACTTAAGAAAAAATCTTGTTCTTGGACTGATAGTCATACTTTAGCAGTTCAGGAAATTAAGAAAAAGGTTAAAAACCTTCCTTGTCTTATGCTTCCTAATCCTATTTGGACTAAGATTGTTGAGACTGATGCCTCTAACTTAGGATATGGCGGAATTCTTAAACAAATTGATCCTACTTCTAAACAAGAATATCTTATTCGGTTTTATTCCGGTAAATGGAAAAACGCCCAGCTTAACTATTCTGCTGTTGTCAAAGAACATTTTGCTATTGTCAAATGTGTTCTTAAATTCCAGGATGATTTATATAATCAAAAGTTTTTAATAAAAACTGATTGTAGCTCTGCTCAATTTATGTTTCAAAAGGATTTTAAGCATGATGTTTCTAAGCAGATGTTTGCCAGGTGGCAAGCCCATCTTGCTCCTTTTGATTTCAATATCCAGCACATTAAAGGCAAAGATAATCACTTGCCTGATTTTTTAACTCGTGAATATCTTTCTTGACTTACCTTTCAGGTACCCTGAAGATAAACCAGATGTGTTTCACATGAGCTCGTACAGTTCTTACTCCTCTTATAGAGGAGTTGGCAGCTCTTCCTATGGAAGAGGTCGAGGTGGTCGCCATTCCTCTAATAGGGGAAGAGGAAATAATGTAATAGCCCAGATGGGTAAACAAAAGCTTATAGCTTCCGACTTATCACATGGTAAGGAAAAAGAGATTCCAGTCTTCTTGGATGATATACCAGAAGACCATCCTCTTGCAGAGGCATGCCTTAATTATATTAAGGAAAAGAAGGCCAAAGAATCTTTGGCAGCTTCAAATTCTTATGCTAATATTAGCAAGGAAGATTCTTCCAACTCTCAGTTTCATGAAACCGATGAAAAAGAAGTTATACTTCTTCTAGAAGATAAAGATCTTCGATGGAACAATGATCCTGATTTCATTCTRCAAAGATATCTTAATAAGACATATTTTGTTCATGGCTCTTTACGTCAACGCCAATTCTATGAAGGTTTACTTCTTTCTACAAAATCTGTAGAAATTACTCATCATTCTTCTAATAGCAGAGATGAGATAAATGDCAATTTTAGTTTTTCAAAACTTGTCATTAAAAAGATTATATCTTTTGAAGAATGGGGTTTTTCTCCTCTTGCTGAGAGAGAATGGTTTTCTCCCAGTCATAAATGCAATTTCAAATTCAATTATTGGGATTATATCCATGGTTTATCTAAAGTTCTACTTTACGATAATGAGAACAAAAGACATTCTTGGTTCTTAAAGATTTGTGAAAATTGCTTTCATTCTCCAATTCCTAATTGGTTTTTCTCTTGGTGGAAAAATTTTGGAACTAGTTC